TTCACTTTATGTTGGAACGCCACTAAACGAGAAATGGAACCAGAAAATAAATATGTTATATTTATTTTTTCAGAATTTGGATTATATAAATGTGATATATGTTATTCTGTTCGATTCAAATTAAATGTATTATATATGGTCGAATGGTATTCTCTCTATTTAAAAATAACAGGTATTAGGTTTGATTTTCGTGAATGACGAGTTTCATACTAATTTACTATAGTTATCATATTGTGTGACTTAAACTAAATCTTGAACCCCTTAACGTATACATTATATCAAAATATTAAACCATGTTTTTTTTTTTTACAAATAACTAAAACAGCATTATTCCTCATCCATAACAAAAAGTGAAAACAGGTTGCATGCTATGAAGCAAATAGGAATGCTTGATTCATAGACACTAAAACAACATTATTCCTCATCCATAACAAAAAAGGAAAACAAGTTGCATGCTATGAAGCAAACAGGAAAGCTTGATTCATAAATTTGTGTTGTGCCTATCATGATATATGTACCACAATATTCAACCCAGTCACCACATGGCAAAGTCCTGCAAAGAAACCACGTCCATTACTTGTAGGCCATGCTGATCTCAGAGCCATACCCCATTCATATCTGTCTTGGCCCTTTGATGGCGTCTTCTGTAGCTGTCATGCACCTGGGGGCAAAGGCAAGTAGTTGGCTTTTCTCTCTTTAGTGATCGTTCGACCCCAAAAGATGATGATCATTATAGTGGAGTAAAAACCAAACAAGAACACTGCCTTTCATGGCAAAGACAAGTGAGAAGGACTTATATGGTATGAGTATACTATCATCGTAATGTCATGTGTTAATAATACATATGTGGAAAATTCTCTTCACATAACGTTGTATCGTTGACACATTTCAAAGACTATGTAAATATGCCATGTAAGTTGCTCTTTTTCCAAGTTTCTTATTAAATTGATGAGGTCAAAGTAAGAAAGCTTCAGCACACTCCCTTCCTTCTGCCATGGTCTTTGGCCCCTTTAATACTTAAGAGTCTATAGCAGTCCACTAGCGCAATTGAAAGTTTCAAGTCTATAGCATCAAATAAGCCGCCTAATTAATTAGTTGATCAAGTCAAACCTAGATATATATACTTTCATAATTTGCAGAACCTATCGATCACCATGAATAAGAAAAGCCAAACTTAGTTTTTAGCCATTTTTTCTTGTTGGTTCAAAGTTCATACCTAATAAAGGATTAGATGTATTATGTAATTGGGTCCCTTTAGCAATATTGCAGAGTCTTACAGTTATTGACATTGATCTCAAGGTCTTGTGAATTAAAGAGCTAGAGTGGCGGCAAGAGTTTCTCACAAACTCGAGTTTACATATTATATATTTTGCTTCATTAATTTAGTGTTACGTACTATAAGGTGGACCAAGTGAAAATAACTAAGTATTTGATGAAGACGAATATTTGGATGCTCTTCTTTGCATATGTATGATTAGCATTAACTATGCTGGGAATCCCATGTTATAAATATTATGTTATTTTTTCATGGGGCTTTTACATTTATGTGCCCATAGAGCGATATATATCCCACCACCCCTCTCGATCGATCAGTATAATAAAGGACATTGAGCTAGCAAGCCAAGAAAATAAGATCGTACATACGTAGATGTATAGAGCTTTCTTGTGTTCAGATTGATTTCCCATACCTATTCATTTTGACCTCATTTTCTCATATATACACCTTAGGCGTGACATGTACCCATAAAGGCATAAATCATGCTATGATATACATTGTAAAAGAGATGTAAAACTGAAGAATAGTTGTTCGAATTATGTAAACTCAACTCGATGATGAGTGAGTGTTCATTCATTTATATAGAATTACAATTGATAAGGTTGTTACACTTGAAAGATAAATACAAACATTTGAAAATATACACAGAACTATTTGAAACTATTTCTTTGACCAGATAAGAGAGTTGTGAGGGTGATGGGTACTGTGTTGTTAGATATCACAGAAGATGTTTGAGATGAAGCCAAACTCTTCTGTTGTAGATTGCAGCAGGAAGATTCAATTTGAATTGGTGACGTGGACTAAGGTTTAGGGTTTTCTAAATTATTTGAAATAGTCTTATCACATTGGTGAATGAATTTCCGATGAGTAATAAAGGCGAGAAAATCCACAACAAAATTAGCTTCTTGAAAAACGTACAAGAGAAGCTAGCTAAATGATTGCATTTTCTTTGTTTCCATGCATGTCATGCAGTCTTGCAGAGATTTAATGTTGTTTAACTCGTACAGTTGTAATCAAAGCTTGGAGAGAAAAAAAAAATTATTGATCAAGATATGGGCGTCAACACTCAACAAACCAATATGAATGTGTGAAACCCTATATATCTACTTAAACATATTCACTAATATACTTTGTTTATTCTTCTAGTAACACACATTTTTAAATTTCGTGAATATTAAAAAACTGAACCAAGATCAGTTTCGATGTTCCTGATATCTCTAGCAATGCATGTGCATGGCATGCACCTCAGTACTTCAAAAAGAAATAGAATATGCTGAAGTTGCGAAGGTTAATCATTAGGGCTTGGGAAGTATTGTCTTACTAACATTAAATTATATTGACCTTTAATGTTTGAATGTTTTTTTTCATTGAAATATGGCATTCTTGGTGGATAAGATTACATTGACATCTCACTTTTATGGCCTCAGGTTGTAGGTCGAGAGAAGGACGTTTCAATCCCAACACTTTCAACTTTTCCAACCCAAAAGAAAAAGACACTTTAACCTTAGTCGAGAAAGGTATTCGTGCAATTCTTTTATACATCAGATAGATCTTTACACAATTCGTAAAAGCAAATGCAGGCCTAGAATATATTTGCACAATGATAACCAACATTATTAATTTTTTGTTTTCTACGCACCTCTTTTTATTTATGATTACCGGATTGAATCAATTAAACGAAAACAATGAATATAATTAAACATGAATGTATAAGAGAAAAAAAAAAAAAAAAAAAGGTGTAATTATCTTTTTGCCTTTGAAGATGGGCAAATATTAATTATTCCTAACCCTACTTGAACAGCTTCCATAACCCGAAATAAAACCTTTGAATTTGAGATTGGGCCTGGGCCTATGCCTTGGGCCATGGGTGTTGGTATAAAATTTTGGTGGGCCAAAATAATTGGGTGCACCTGGTAATCTGAGGTCGGTCCAACCCTGCAGCAAGAATCAAAACTAGAATTGAACATAAATGCCTACACTTATGTGCCAACCCTAAATATGATGTATGGTCGTCGTTGTGCGGATGACTAGTATTGATGTTAGTCTTTAAGTCTCTAATGACACAAAACCCATTTCATTTTTTTGTTTGTCACTAAATAATCAAACATTCATGCATAACCGTACTTGATGTGGGAAAATGTTGTAAATGATGCTTTAGCTAAATTGGGTTTAGAGAGACATTTGGATTCGTAGCTTTTGGAGGAGCCTCCGAACGTTTGTGTCCAATTATTCATAACGACGGAATAGGCCCGCACTCGATCCAGATTGTTACATGTTTGTCATGAAGAATTTGATTTGTCCGTATTATCCATACATGATGGAGGAAGATTGAAACATATTATATCACATACGCAATTGAAAGTGATCCTCTTATGTGAACATATACCAGTTGAACCAAAATTATTTTTTGTCCTAATCAAAATGGCATTTCACTATTTTATTTTATTTTATTTTATTTTTGGGTTGGGTTTTAAATCATCAAGTTTAAAGGTGATCACAACTTTGACAGAGTCATATATCATTATAGGTATGTCATATATGTTTGATGGAATTCAAGTCTTTTATTCAATAATCGCTGACCAGGAAAACACTGGCCAAGTTAAAAAACTTTCCTAACCTATAACCAGCTGGTGAATTGAAAAGTATATACAAATTGGTTATCGTATGGTCACCGGTGTTGAACAGAATTGGTATTTTCCAATCACACACTGGCTCAGAATTTGATGAGTTTGTGTGAAATGAGTCAAATGACCAATCACTGGTGTTTGTCTAGGATAACTTCATTTGGATTGTAAGCTTGACTCAAAATTCCAACCTGGGATTTGAAATAGGGTTTGAAGCTCAATCTCTCATACCCTGAATTAAGGCTTCTGTTCCCACCAAGAGAAATTTCCTCTCCTTGACCCCCTAAAGTAGCATCATTTTACCGTACAAGCGTTATAATTGAACAGAGATAGTTTATCTTAGAGATTATCACTATTCTAAAAATCACTGCATAGGCGCTAGGCTGCTAGCCACCGTCCTGATTATTGCCTAGGTGTTTGAAAATTAAGAAAGGGCGCCTAGACCTAAGCACCCACCTAGACACCTGCCTAGGTTGCAACTCACTTAGATAGAAAGTAGATAACTTTCCTTTTGCATTTTATTGTTTCCAATAAATTGTAAGAGACTTATTGAACACTTAAATAAACTCACATTATATGTTTGCTCCCCATATTTTCATTATGTTCCAATACTTTATAATATATATGTCATTCTATTTTCTAGTTTATGATGAAATTATATATATTTTAAGTATAAACAGACATTTATTTACCCGAAATACAATAGATTTACTTAAATCCGCCTAGCTTGCCTAGGTGCCCGCCTAGGTGCGAGGCTCCAATCCGTCGCCCGACTAGTGCTTAACATCTTTTAGAACCTTATATTCAGATGATGATAAAGAAAATAAACAATTCAGGTTATGACTTTTGTATGATAAAATAATATCACATTATGGGGCAAGCAAGACTTTCATATTATTAAGGAGCATGAAAGTATCGTAACTAAAATAAAGCATATACTTATAAAATGTTGATTCAGCCAATGTAGCCTGCAGTCCAAGTTTTGAGATGTTAGTTGGCCAGTGATTCATTAATTGGGATTAGTTGAAACCCATGATGCCACAAGAAGTCATACAAAGAAAAAGTTGGTTACCATATACTGGTGAGAAATGTGAAAATCCAATTTGATCACAACCAGAAAGGTCAACTCCTCCCCCCTCTCATATAGTTTGTACTTCTCTCTGCACGTTCTCTCTTATATATCTCTCTTCATCTCTCCCTATTTCTATCCCCGTTTCTCACCCTTGGTTTTATGTTGCAACTTCTGGTTTTTTTAACTTCCTCAACTCTCTCTCCCCACACACACCACACCCACCCCACCCCACCCCCCCAAAACCCAACCCCGCCCCACACTAAGATTCTGTATTATAGTTTCTACTTTTTCCTCATTCTTTTAATCATCTCTTTCGGTTATATATAAATCTCTCTTTTTAGAATCAAAAGGCCCTCATCAGGCAGCATAAACCTAGCAGCTGCCCTCTCTGTCATGGAGAAGTCTTGCAATTCATCGTTGATCAAAGCTGTTCCTTCAAAAGAAACCTCATACTCATGCACAGAGGAGGAGAGTGGTTGGACTGCTTACTTTGAGACTTCTCGAACAACAATAATAAAAGAAAAGAAGAACAAGAACAAGAAGAACAAGAAGAACAAGAAGGAGGAGGAGCGCAAAGTTTTGGATACACCTCTTCTTTGGTTTCTGATGCTGCTTCTGGTGCTGCATGGAAATTAGCTTCCCACAACAATCAAAGCAATGCAGGCTCTATTGGGGTACCACCCAATAATTTTCCCAGGAAATTAAGCTTCAAGAAAACAAGAACCAAAAAGATTTCTGGTGATGATTTGGAGGACACTGCTAGTTCTCCTGTTAATAGTCCCAAGGTCCCTTTTTTATTTAGAGCCACACATACAAATTAATTGTTCCCTTTTTCTTTTCTTTTTCCAATTTTTGTTAGTTCTTGGGAATTGACTGTTCTTTTGTGTTCTTATTGTTTTTTTTATATTAGATTGGTGATTTGAGACCAGTTGATATAAATCCCAGAAAGATAGACGATCATCATATGAATATGAATTCTTTGGTACAATTCTTTTTCTTTCCCTTAATATTTCTTCTATTAATTCTCTCTTGAAAGGAGATTAATTATAATCATTTTGGTTTGGTTCTGATGGTTTTGTAGGGTAATGAGGGGACTACTGTAGAACATTTTGCAGAGATAGAACAGACACATGATGAAAAAAGTAGTGATTGTACGGACTTAAAGAACAAAGGGTTCTGCTTGGTTCCCATGTCCTGGTTGGTGAACTATATTGGTTAATTTCACGTTTTGCAATGAAGAATCTCACCTTTACCTCTCTGCTAGTTGATGCTTCTTCCGTAACTTCCTGTATAAAGGAAATATCTGTCCATTAGTGTGTGTGTAGTGTGTATATAGTTCTTGTAAGATATGTGATCATTCTCTCTCTCTCTCTCTCTCTCTCTCTCTCTCTCTCTCTATATATATATATATATATATATTTATATATCTGTGTGTGTGTGTGTGTGTACTTTCTTCTGTAGTCCAAATGTTTCCCAGATCAATCTTCCATGATGTATATACACTCACATGAACTATATATGGTTATCTCATTGACAATATATAGTACTACACTAGAATTTATGCATAGATAAATCTTACCATAGTAAATAACTGTAGAATGCTTTTTGGCTAGTCTTATGTTGCTTGAATAAATCTAGTAGCTAAGGCTGGTAAACAGTTTTATTAATTAACTTGAAAATATGTCTCAGACTGGAGGTTTTCACTTGATGCATCTTAATATCCAGCAACCAAATTTATATATATGACGTAAAACGTATTTATCCTTTGGAAGTTGCCCTCATAAGTAAACCCCAAATTCAGCCGTTTAATTATCAAAGTAATAAAAGTAGTACAGGAAAGCGATTGTGGTTTATTAACACAGTCATCCAAAAAGGCCGGCCTTTTGAGCCCCCTTTGCTAAATTGCTTCTCATCGACTCATCCACTCCCATATATAGATATAGTTACAAAAATAAAATATGATATTTTTTTTGTTCATTGGTACAAAAGACATTACTATTCTAAAAGTCATATTGAGAAAAATAGAAAGGTTAAAACTCGGGACCAGTAGATTAAAGAAAAGTGCCCTATCAACCAAAAAAACACTACACCACTTGCAAATAAAATATGAAGAAGGGGCATGAGAATATATACATGCAAAGAGCATAAGAATATCGCAACTAAACCCTAAAGGATGTTAGTTCCTAGTACGCTCGAAAAAAGCATTAAAAATAGCTAAAAATAATTAAATAAAAAGAGGAAAAGTAGATTGATAGGGTTATATATTAATTCATCTCCAACCTCATTCAGGCCAATTCATGTATAAAAAATACTCAGAAACGGCTGCAATACAAGACCCCTCCATGTGCACGAGCACTAAAAGCAGGTGAGAAGGCATTCGTATATAAGATCTAGCTTGCGTAGTTTGTTTAGAAACAATATTCACAACAGCTACCTATCTGCTTCCTTTGTGTTTTTCGCAAAGGGTTATCTGAATGAAACCTCATTGATATACGTACGCATTGTGGATTTATTCTTTGAATGTCTAAAAATTAGTGATTGTCTAATATGGCGTTGGGGTTTTTTTGTTTTTTTTTTTTTGCGAGAGATCCTAAGTTTAGTATGGATGTAACTTAATGCATATAATCATCTCATTCTCTTACAGCTTAAAATTCGGCATCACGAATGAATTACGTAATGCTATTTGTATTAGATAAGAAAATATATGGTGGATATGATGGAAAGTATTTCTTTTTGTTTTCTCATCAACCAAACGACGCATTATTGAATATCGATAGCTTTCTTTATCAACAAGAATGCCATAAGTGGGTATTAAGCGACATTTTTAGATATAGACTATAGGAATGCTTGTCACTCTAGTCTAGGAAAAGGTTCGTGGTGCATATACGTCAACATTTTTTGTTGGCGAAGCATATACGTCAACTTGTTATAAGTGCTTTAGCATAGGATAATAAGGTTCTTGATGCGTTTGTCAACTTGATCATAATGCATAATACTTTCTCTACTGACTATGTACACAGCTGGATCGCTGTTATTTAATTAAACTAGTTTTTCTTGGTCATAACACAAAAAGAATTCATGCATATAAAGTTAATATATATATATATATATATGTTTAGATAATTGTAAGACTTATTGGACGAAAACTTGCGAGAATGTGAGGATAAAGTTCCACATTAGTGAGGGACCAAACCATGCAATGGCTTATTATAAGAGTTGGGCTACTTCCCATATTTCCAATTGGTTTTATGGGGGAACCTCAACTTTCTTCATGGTATCAAAGCAGGTTGTCCTACATGTGAAGTGAAACGGCCACACGTGCTCCACGTTACCGGTTGTGTTGTCCATGTGTTCACCATAAGTGAGGGGACGTGTTGAGAATGAATCCAACATTGATGGGAGGAGGAACCTTACATGGGCTTATTATTAAGTTAAGTTACTCCCCATATTGCTAATTAGTTTTACGGTGGAACCTCAACTTTTTCACAAAATAACTAGTAAGGCTACATGAATTAGAAGAACCATGCATGTATAAATAAACTAGATATACAATGTATTTAAATTCACTTCAGATATAATGTAATATTTTGAATGACTAGCTAGGTGCATTGTAAGACATGATAATAATTCAATTAAACAATTTGATGGTTTTAGAGATTAGCAAAATTATATTTTAAAAAATTGGGTAAGGTAGGTATTCTTTTCTTAATTAGAATTTCAATAATAAAAAAATAAAAAAAAAATAAAAAATAAAACTTCTAGCTCTTTCGATAGTTCTACCACGCATGATGGCAATGCTACACCATATACACTACATGAATATTAAAACGCGAAAAAAAAAATATTACAAAACGAAGTGGCAACAAAAGACCCTAATCAGGTAAATATACTTTAATTCGTCATCCATAGTTGAAGAAGTTTATAGGCCACATATAGGAGGAATATAGTGGATGATGTGCAATGCTCTCCTTCACACCATATGGCCTACCAATGTATAAAATTATATACGTAATTTATATACAACTACCTATAATTTAATTTGTGCGCATGTGTGGCCCTGCCTTTGGCATATTCACCTCTAATATATTCAAATTAAAGAAAATTAAGGTTCCACCAAAAACTAATTGGCTATATAGAGAGTAGCCCAACCTCTTAAGCCTTTGCAAGGTTTTTCATTTCACCAATGTGAGACTCTTTTACCTCACATTCTCATACAAATCCATCATATAATTAATTGCGGACTTCACACTTGTTATTTTTTGTTACAAAAATAAAATAAAATGATTTAAACTAAGTTCATCTAAATTACAGAAAAATAGATTCAAATTTAAATGCATAAGTGAGTGCATACTATTTGAGCAAACTTGGCTAACACTCAGTTTTCAATCACATGTGATTAATTTAGCTATGTGTGTATAAAGTTTACCAAGTCATAATTATGAATATGCTACCGAGTGCCTAGGTGCTACTTTACGATCTTGTTCTCCAATCTCTCAAAGACACGAAAGATTAAAGCATAGTGCTTTGCTATAAATTGGTGGATAATTGGATTAGACAAATAATTATGGATTTTGGGAACCCTCTAATATTTTCATTTGTTTACATTTAATTGCAGCCAAATCATCACAGATTTACAGTAGGGAATGGGCTAAGAATTAGCGTCCAATCCAAAAGACAATTATCTTCATTTTGTGCATCAACACTTTTTGGCGAACCATTCTGGGTTTAATTGAATTGATTAGCATGCAAATCAAAGTTAGGTAATCAATCACATAGTACTTAACGACCACTAATAATGTGATTTCAACTTGTGGAGTGGTAGATTAAAGGTCTAATTCAGTTTATCAATCACTGTCGGCTTAAGAGGATGACATGCATGCATATATGCCTTCTAAAAGACTTATTCTTTCACCACTTTGGATTGCCATTTTCACTCTTTTATCTAGAAGGATGGTTTTCAGAGTTTGCCTGCACATAGACGTAGTTATCCATTAATTGCAAAGTGTTGTTCAAGTAGGTTTCTTTTTCAACTCATGCATATGCAAATCCCTTAGCTAGTATAGGGTCATGCTCGTAAAGTCTCGTCTTCATGGCTGTTGATGTTTTTGAATTCATGTGCTTAAAGCTTTTTGCCTTGACTCTTTTGGGTTAATATTATTATTTTTGTTCTTTGAGCGTCAAGGGTTCCTTATTTATTTCTGGTGCTTTAGTTAGTTGTGACGTTTTTATTCATGCAGGTGCTTTTGGATGCACATTATTGGAGAAGATTCAAATGCATGCTCTCCAATTATATATGTGAAATTTTCTCTATTTGTTAAATTCGAATTTCATGTAATATATGCTACGATTAGAAAAAGAAAAATGGGAAGCGATGGATGAAGGGTAAAGCATAAAAAGCGAATATATATAAATATAAAGAAGTATTATTGCCACTTCAAAAATCTTATTTTACACTCCTCACAAGTGTATTTTTCTTTTCTAATATAAAAAGTTTGGAGTGTAGAATGAGATTTTTGAAGTGCTAAAACAATTCCCTGAATATAAACACTTCCTCAATCTGCTCATTCTTTTTCTTTCTGTCATATTTTTCATGATTTTTTGTTTGTTTAGTATTTGAAGGAGGAGATTCCACTTTTGAACATCTTCTAATAATATAGATATTTACAATATATCTTCCTAGCGTTAGAGTGACTTGGTGCAGCTCCCACTATATTTTGATAAAAGGTTCCATATTTAAAATCTCACATTAAAAATATGTATGATTTACTGAAGTAGATATGTCAAAATACCAGCAATATTCTTGTCTAAACTACACTAAGGAGAGAGGAAGGGTTTAAACTAAGAATGTGATGAGTTAAAAAAAGAAAAATTATAACTATTAGGATAATTCACCACTTGTTAAATTGCCGAAATGTTTAATGAAGTGTTATGTATTGACATGCGTAGGTTAACTCTTTCTTCCTTTCTTCCCTTCTTTCTTTTGGGTCAGCAATTTAATTAGATTATCCCATATCAGAGCAATGTAACTGTGTGACTAAAGAAGGAATGCAAATATTAGAAGAACAATCTTATTTAATAACGATGAAAATACTTTACAACATTAATGCTAGGTAAATCAAAATTTTAAACCAAATTATAAACTAAATGATATGTCATCAATAAGAAATAAGCATGTTAATCAACACTTAAGTAATAATTCAATCATCAACAACCACATCATTTGATTTATAATTTTTTTTTTTTTTTTAAATTTGGCCTCCCTTAAAAAAACATTACCCCTTTACAAAAGCAACAGTTTATTCTATGGAAGAACGAGATGTTGTATGACAAAGACCAACATATAAGATGGTTATTCCTTTTCTGTAC